GCACCCCCATATCCCCCCGCTGCACCCCCCGTCTGCCCCCGCACCCCTTGCCCCCCTGCAGTCCCCCATCCCGCACCCATCCTGCGCCCCTCTGTATCCCTGCACTGCTCCTGTACCCCATCCGTGCTGCATCCCCCGGCACCTTCTGTGTCCCTGCACCCCTCTGTGTCCCCCCATGCGCCCTGCCCCCCCAGCACCCATCCTGCACCCCTCTGTGTCCCCTCATGCACCCTGCACCCCCAGCACCCATCCTGCACCCCTCTGTGTCCCTGCATGCACTTTATGTCCCCCTGTTATCCCTCTTTGCACCCCCTCCATCCTGCACCCCTTCGCACCCCCTGTGCTTTGTACACCCATCCTGCAACCTTGCACCCCCCTGCACCCCTTCATTCCCCCTGCCCTCATCCTGCCCCTTATCCTGCACCCTCTGCCCCATCCCGCACCCCTCTGCATCCCTCCATGCGCCCTGCATCCCTCAGCACTTATCCTGCACCCATCCTGCACCCCTTCATCCCTCCTGCATACTCTGCCCCCATCCTGCACCCTTGCATCGCCCCTGTACCTTCTGCACCCATCCTGCACCCCTGTATCCCTCCCTGTACCCCCTGCACCCATCCTATACCTCTGTATCCCTCCCTGCACCCATCCTTCACCCTTGCTGCACCCTCTACCCCCATCTTGCAACCTTGCATCCCCCCCTGCACCCATCCTGCACCCCTTCATCCCCCCTGCACCCTCTGCCCCCATCCTGCACCCCTCTGTATCCCTCCATGCACCCTGCACCCATCCTTCACCCCCCTGCACCCTCTGCCCACATCCTGCATCCTTGCGTCCCCCCTGCACTGATCCTGCACCCCTGTACCCTGTACCTACCTGTACCCTGTACCACCCCTGTACCCCTTGCACCCCTTAATCCCTCCTGCACCCTCTGCCCCCATCCTGCACCCTTGCATCCCCTCTGCACCCATCCTGCACCCCTTCACCCTCCCTGCACCCTCTGTCCCCATCCTGCACCCCTGCATCCCCCCCCACCGGTGGGTGCCCCCCCATCCCACACCTCCGGCACACCCAGGCACTCCCCTATCCCCAGCATCTCTGTCCCCCCAAACATCTGTCCTGCTGCCCAGCACCCTGCTGTGTCCCCTGCACCCCCCGACCTGCCTGTCCCCTGTGCTGGCCGAACCCTGCACCCCTTCCAGCACCTCCATGGGACACCCCGGGTCCCCAGCGCTACCCCCTGCCACCCACCCACCTCTGCACCCACTCCCTGTGGGCACCCAGCACCCCCCGGTGACGTGGGCACCCACGGTCACGGCAGTGCCCCTGGGGGACAGGGGCTGTGGAGGTGGCCTGGCACCACCATGCTGATGCCTTGGGGACATCAGCGCTACGACCTTGTCCCCATTACGGGGTCGATGGGTGGGGGCTGGAATTTGTCACCCTGGGCAGAGGGGCTTAACCCTGGGTGCTGCTGCTGCGGGGAAGATGGGGACGGCTGTTAGGGTGACAGCCCTGTCCCCCTTGTGTCCCCAACCTCCATCCAGGGACCGACCTGCCGGTGTGTGCGAGCTGCGGGCAGGGCATCTACGATGGGCAGTACCTGCAGGCGCTGAACGCCGACTGGCACGCCGACTGCTTCCGGTAGGAGCCCGCGGTCCAGCTGGGATGGCCTTGGGGACACCGGGATGCTCCGCAGGGACAGCGGATGCCCCCCACTCTGGCCATGTCATGGGCTGGTGGCGAGGCCATCGCACGCACCCAGATGCTCCCCCCGAGCGTGGCGGCCGTGGGGCAGCGCAGGCAGCGGGCTGCAGGCAGGGCTCAGCAGGTGATGGCGAGCCTGGCAGAGGGCTGTGCTGCCTGTACCCCGCTGTCCCCCCGCGCTGTCCCTTCCTGCCCGGTGACGGGGCGCGTGGGCTGATGTCACCGCGCCCCCTCCCTGCCTGTTTCCTCTTTCACTCGCGCCCTCCCGGCAGCTCGAGCGAGCGGTGGGAGCCCCGAGGAGGAGGAGGAAGGTGCTGGGTCGGGGGGCACAAGGGGTG